TCCAGCGCAGAGCTGAAGAAGGGGTCTTCAGCACAGCCTGTTTGGAAAAACCGTGGGCAGATGGGCTGGACAACACTGATGTCGCGGATTCTTGGATATCTGTTAAGCGTCAATGCCCTTTGAGTTTCGTGATGTGCTCGCAACCTAGATTCCGGATATATAGTCGCTAAGCTTGTGTGGCTGTCTCAGGATGAACAAAGCATTCTTGGAGCTTGCGGCAGCTCACTCACGGACTTCCGCTTTACGCCGTGTTGTTTTTTTCTCGAGTGCAGGTCTTGGGGTTGCACTGTTCGTTCAGTTGCTTCGCGCGATTAAGCGAGACAGATCAGGCTAGGCAACGGCAGTCTTACTGTCTGTCTACACAACCTCAACCTGTATCCTAGCAGCGGAGGATGTCGTGGGATGTTTTGCAATGCCTTGCCTGGCCATTGCAGAGATGCAATGCGATTGCTAATGCACAAGGTATTGAGCGAATGCTCACATAATTTGGATTGCCACTGCACGAATGAACCATGCAACGGTTTCGCAACCGTTTTGGATCTGTTTGCTTACAAAATCGAAAACACACAATGAACTATCGGTAAGAACATATATTGTTCCATTGGCAACAAATATTTATCGATATCAACTTTATTTGGAGAGGAAGACTTTACCAAAAAGAAATTTCTGATTGATTTATAGAATAATAAAAAGGATATTAAAAATTCAAATATATAGGTAAATAAATAACGGGAACTATAAAGATAATTCTTTTAGAATTAGAAATATAGTTGTATGGGTCAATATGAATATGTTCGATTATCGAATAATATAAATAAAATTGAGGAGATTGTTTAAATTTCTACATTTTTCTAATGCAAATATTTATATATAATTTATTCTCTAAGGAAACGATAGTTTATTACTTACGTCTAAGATTCTCTACGCATTCTGCCCCCCGCTGGATTAAGGGCCTTGTTCTGTGTTTCTTCGTGAACACTTCTTAAATGGGTAGTTGTTTCGCGTGAATATATCTTGGAAATTTCAATATTTTGGTAATTCTAGGGTGATATTCGCGTGATACTAAAATTCTGTAGGTTTTTGGGCGGAGGCTCTAGTATTCTGTGTATTGAATGAAACTAAGTATTAGTCGTATATTAGGAATCCGAATTGGTTCGTATCTGATTCGTGATGAGGTTCGGATTCATTTCTAATTTGGATTCGTATTTGGCATGCATCTGATTTCATATTTTAATCATACGTTATAGTCATATTTTCGTATTCGATTCATTTCTATATTATATCTATTTAATATTTGGCTCGTATCTATTTCATATTGGATCGTGCCCAGATTTATTTCTGATTCGTATTTGATTGATATTTAGATTCGTATTTGGCAACTATCGTGCCATTTCGTTTTTGATTCGTATCTATTTTATATTTGGTTCATATATATAGGACTCGAATCATATTTGATTATTAGAATAATTTTAGAATTAAATAATAATCTTAATAATGATAGACGATATCGAAATGAAGGGAATTTCGTAGGAACTATAGTTTTTCAATCGATATAATTGTCTCGTTATATAAGGCACTTCGTAAAAATGATAGTATGTCGGAATTATGTAATTAAATGATGCCAATAACTTTTAATACTGATAAGATTTCTCATCCCCGATTAAATTTCTTTTCCTATTCTCCGGGCTCGAATAGTTCACGATTTGAAAATTTGAATTTCTATTTCTTGAGCGTGAAGAATTTGCACCGTCCAGGCAATCTTTTCCTTGGCAAGATATCCCTTTATCTCGGAATTCTTTTCTAAAATCTTCATAGAGATCTATTTTATCTTTTAAATTAAATACGATCGGATATTTCCTCATGCTCAGCCGGCGCTTAGTATATCACTTGTCCTTTAAGTCAAACGACGAATCTTGAAGGCATGCATCAATGTCCTATCGAGCGTTATAAGAGCTTCTAATATTAAATATCCTTATCCTAAATCGATCTACCGGCGGAATATATTTCGTGCATATATGACGATTCTCTCATTCAGTCTCCTTGTATAATTTATAGAATTTCTTAATATATTTAATTACTTGAAGCATTCATTTTTATTTCTTGATTTTTCTATATCTCTTTCAATCTCTGTTTATATATCGTAAAACCGTTTCTCGATAAATATATTCGGTCTATTCCTATATGATTTTTTTGCTTTTAAAAATATACCTTCTTATAAAAAAGATATCAAATCTAAAATGATATCAGAAAGTAAGATTTTCTCTTAATTAAAATCTAAAATCCATAAAAAAAAGAAACAAAAAATAAAACAAAAAAAAACAAAATCAAAAACATAGTATAACTAGTCTTTGGTGTAGTGTTTATTTTTGGCGTGGGGGATGGATCTCGACTAGTTGTGCCTCCCCACCAGACTGTAGGATGAATGTAGGTGGTGTGGCTGGGGGGGGGCTTGCACTCTCCACAGACTGGAACCATGTCTCTCTTACACTTCCACACGTGCAATCCTATGCAGGCAGAACCGGCGGCCGTTCCTTTTGCACTCACTGCCGGCGGCGGTTCGTCTGTGCAACGGGATAGCTCTGATTGCTCAGGATAGAAGACACTTATAGCACTTAGCTATGGGCATTGACTTGAGCCAAACGTTGCGTGGGCGGTCACATAGAAAGGTAAAGATGAGGGACGCGTAGCGTGCCCCCTTAGAGTCGAGGGACGCGTAGCGTGCCCCCTCCTCTTGCACTTTACACAGTCTTGCTCACAGCTCTTATAGTGACACCTTAGAACTTGACAAGGCATCGCAGTCCGTTCGCACCCCCCATGAGTTGCGTCTCCGACGCTGCTCACCCGGAAGATGGCACGATAGGACAACAGAAAATGTTCCGCCGCAACGTTGGCATTGAAAATCAGAGCTTTGCATCCCAATTAGAAACGTTGTGACACTCATCTACGTCAGTAACGATCCCCTGAAATGGCAAACGAATCAGGCGTCACCGAAGAAAGAAGCATTCGCGATGGCATTCCATGGGCGAAGCTCAGAGGTCACGAACTGATAGGCGAGGAAGACCAAGCGTTGATTCATCTCCATCTTCGCGTGGTCGCAGGATCGCGGTCCCAGGGCCGGAGGTTTTCCTCTGGATACTGTTCCCTTTGCTTTCCTTTGTCCTTGCCTTTGTTTCGGCCTTTGCCGGCGGTGTAGTCATAGTAGGTGTTGGCGTTCCAGCCTCCATGCTGTTCACCTCCGGTTCTCTCACGCCCTTTTGAAGGTCCCTTGGCCGAAGAAGCGCTTGCACGTTCCTCCGTAGTGACAGGCGTGTCCAGGATGGAAGTACCACCTGGAGGGAGATAGTCAGCGGCCGAAATGTGGTGTAGGGCTTCAGTACGCTTGGTCGTCGGGTTTTGCTGTCTCTCAGCCTTGGATCTGTTCAATCTGTCCATGAAATGCGCAGGCATTTGCACATTGTGGTCCACCAGCAATCCGATGGTCTGGACTGAATGATCGGCATGAGTCAGCAGGATACCGACGGGGTCGATGTACAAGAAGTCCACCGGTCCAGTTGGCGTTGGTCGTAGCACTGAGAATTGTTGGTGTCCCGTCACCATCGGAATCACCTCGCACAGGACGTTCAGGCAACAAAAGTGCATAGCCTTCACATCTTCATCCCTGTTGCTCTTCAAGTACGTAGTAGGGTTGAAGTTGTCCCTGCCAATTCCCATCATGTTGGCTCCCCGTGTAATCAACGAAAGCATCTGATTCGTCCGGAAGCGCTTCAAAGTGTAAGTCCCGTTGGGCTCATACTGCTTGAAGTTCTCAGGTTCCTTGGCAAAGCGAATGATCTCCTCATCAGTCACATCCCTGCTCACACCAGTCTCTCTGTCCACTACAGCCAATGATCCCCATTTTCCAAGCACATCATAGCGTTGGCCAAGTGCGAAGTTCTCTTTCATCTGAAACAACGGCATAGTAGCCCACTTCGCGAAGCCTGACCAAGCCTTGTAGATGGTCCTGCATACCACGAAAGCCATATACGAAAGAGCGACCATGTTGGCGTCAATGCAATGGGCATTTCGCTTCCCTGAGTAGTAGGATGGCTGCATGGCGGTACGTGCAAGTTGTAGCTCAGGATCGATGTTCAAAGACTGGCCGGTGATGAAGACGGGACGGCGTTCCTGTGCAACTGCATCTGGTACTGCGTCATCAAAGTCCTCTCCTGGCTCTATGTCCATTTCTTCATCAGGTTCCTGTTCTGGATCGTCCTCCGCGATGACAGATGGTTCTGGGATTTCCTCAGGTTCCGCAACGGTCTCTACCTCCATGGCTTCCTGCTCCTCTTCGGGCGCCTCAGGCACTGCTGCTGCCGCGGCTTCCATTGTCTGAGCACCCAAACCATCCACGCTTGATTATTTTCAATCGAACGCTTGAAAAAACACGGAAACCAAGAGGCGCTTGAAGATTGATTTTGGAAGGACAAAACCGACACTCGGCTTCATCTGCTGCATGTCGGTTCGCTTGATTCCTCGATTGATTCCACACTTGATTCATCGCTTGATTCCTCGATTGATTTTACTGAAGGTTCCCGCTTGATTCCTCGATTGATTCTATGGACGGCTCTCGCTTGGATCCTCGATGGGTGTTACTGAAGGTTCCCGCTTGGGTCGTCGGTTGATAATTGATATACAATCAGTGATATGGGGAAGGACAGAAGGAAGTACTTCCTTCTGTCCTTCCTTTATACTTTCCTGCCTCCATATACTCATAAGTATACAGAGTTACATACATTTACACACATTTACATACATTTACATACGCACATGCACACACACCCATATACACATATGTACTATGTACATGTACCAGGCCATGCACTAGGCAGTAAACCAGTGTTTTTGATGCAGTCTTGCAGCTTGCAGAGCAATATGATGGCAGATGATGAAGTCTGGCAGCTTGCAGAGTCGCGAAGACACTTGTAATTCCAAAGGCTCGGCTCGAATCCCCAGAAACAGCGATGGGGAAAGGTGGCAATCGACGACCGAAAGTTCCGGAGTGTGACTTAGAGCATCTGCAAGATGTCTTGGCCGACATCGTGAAGGCCGAGTGCGGCTTGCACTTCAAGGGCTACCTGGGTGTGCTCAAGAGCCAGGCCATCCTAGGGGCCGACCTTGTGGAGCATGCCCATATGATCAAGAAGTTGTCGGAAGTTCAGCCTACACTTCTGTTTCGCTACGGAGATCTCAAGATGATCTTCGGTCGCATTTGCAATTCGTTCCCTGCCGTCAGGAACCAGTTTGCGGTGCACCAACAGGGGCAAGCACCCAACAAGTTGTCCGAGGCCTTGATGACCTTGTGCACGCACACCCGCCGGCTGAAGGATCCAGTTCGTTTTCGGGAAGCAAGTTCCTCCTTGCTTGACTGGCAAGTCCTGAAGCTTGAGGAGCTCCGGACTTTGGTGCGGGACAATGTCGAGGACAAGCCCAGCAGCCCTGACAAGAATAAGAAGACGAACCAGGACCCGAGCATCACCAAGAAGAACACGCCGAAGCCAAGCCCCTGCGAGGACAAGAACAAGCAGAAGCCGAGCACCCCCAAGAAGACGAACAAGCAGCCAAGCACGCCCGAGAAGAAGAACAAGCAGAAGCCAAGCACGCCCGACAAGAAGAAGAAGAAGAAGCAGAAGCCAAGCACCCCCGTGAAGATCTTGCCCGAGCACAGTGACGAAGAGAGCATTGACACGCAGTGCTGCCTGGAGATGGACATCCCTGCTACCCAAGAGACCGACGGCCACTGGGTTTAGGTTATTGGGGTGGGGTGGTTTTCCTTGTGGCTGGGTTTAGGGTGGGGTGGGTTTAGGATGGACTGTGGTGTTTCCTTTTATTTAGCCTGGTTTTACATAATTCCCTTATAGTTCCGATGCCTTTTGTTGTCCGCATTGGTTAGCCCAGGAAGTGACATCAATGCAAGCGACCTCCAGCAGGAAGCCGATGCTTTGTCGCCAGTTCCTGCTCGGAAGAAGAACCTCAAGAAGCGCCTCCCCGCCAAGAGCATGAAGGCCATGAAGGTCATGAAGGCCGTGAAGGTGACGAAGACAATGAAAGCGATGAAGGTTTGCAGGAAGCCAGCAGCCGCTCTGAAGCAGTGCTACAAGGACGAGGAGTTGTTTCTGATGCCGTACGAGAAGCATCCGAACAAGCCGGTGGCAATCAGGGTCAGGGGGGGCAGACAGCTCCTGCAAGTTTCCGCTTTTCGCAGTGTGAAAGAGAACTCGAAGCATGCTGCACGTCTTATGAAGAAACTCAAGGGCGGCTGTACCTTGAAGGAGGTGCTGGAAATGAAAAAGAATCTCTGAGAGATTCTTCGTATGCGAAAAGATGGCCCTCATGATATGCATAAGGTCGTTCTGCGAGCCACCGAGTTCCACGCCGAGTGTCTGGGGAAAAGATTTCAACTGAAGTTCGAGCTAGCAGTGCTGGTCGAGATTCAAGTATGAAGGACTGCTATGTGTGTGTGTGTGTGTGTCGGGGCACAGTCTGAACATGATGCATTCATTGCTCGGTCGAAATTGATGCAGGTACACTCCATAGGCACGCATATGGCAGCAGTGCAGTTTCAAGGCTCCTCTTCCCGACAGCTTTTTATGTATGGGTGCTACTGCTACTGTATGTGTAATGCCTTGCACAGTACTCCTGAAGGTTACCTCCTGGACCCTTAACCATGTAGTATGTATGTGTTGAACCATGTATGTATGCATGTTTTATGCTATTCGGGTAAGCATGGCCAACTCGCCAGTGCTGCCTCTCGAGATGCACGAGCCGCAGCCCAAGTGCAGTGGCAAAGACGAGTCGAGGAGTCAGCACCAAACACAGGATGCCGAGTTCCACGCCCGAACCCTAAACCCTAAACACTCGCAAGGTCACTTATGCGATGCATCCCCACATCGACATCTACAAGGCTCCATCTGGCGGTGGAGATTTTGGAGATAGGGTTTATAGTTAGTAGCTGGGGCGAGGGTTTGTTAAAGTTTATAGGTTTCGGGTGTGCGGATAACGGGGTAGAGGGTGGCCTTTCAGGGTTCAGGACCGGGTCATGCTGGACCAAAGACCAACATTCACGGTAACCATCAAGGAGTGCCTAAGAACGCATAACCATGATAATTTCCCACCACGACTTGCCACCCACGCCAGGTTCCGTGCGACATCGCACACCGGCGACTTCTTGAAGGCTTTTGAGCTAAGTTTAAGGGTTGTGGCTTAGGGTTTTAATCCCCAACTTCGGGATTCGTGGGCCAAGTGGTCTGGAGGGTTTAGGGGTGTTTGGTCTTTGGTTTAGCCCCTTCTGGGGGACAGGTTTCGGGCACGGTTTGTGCCTTCAGGCCGACAACACTACACATATATATAAATATATATATATATATATAGATATATATATATATATATAGATATATACATACCCCAAGCCCGAGGCCATAATCCCCTGAACTGTAACCCCCTTTTGCAGCGGGCTTGCTTCGCCGCCCGGCTCGTACCCTGAGCCTAACCCCTAAACCCCCAGCCCCTAGAAGCCCTCGTGGCGCCTGATAGGATCTAGGATTGAAGTTTCAACCTGCTGTGGCCCCAAGAATGCCTCAAAGCAAACCCCCTCTCCCGGGCCGGGAGAGGGGGTTTGCTTTTCGGGAGTTTTGCCCCGCATCAGCCCCGTAACCGCACCCCCCAAACGCTAAGCCCTCAATAACCCCAAGCCTGTCGGAGGCCCCTAAAGGGGGGGTGCAAGGTGTATAGTATAGGCCGTAATTAGGGCTTAGGCTCTTGATGTTGTTTACATCAACCGCGATCGGTGTTCCCCTCGGAGCTGTTAAACCCTAAACCCTAAACCCCAAACCCCCTACGTTTGAGTCTGCGGTTTATTTCAGTTATGGTTCACGGTCCAAGATCTGTTTTCCCCAAATTCGGGGACCCTAACCCTGACCCATAACTAAATAACCCTAAACCCTATAATTGCTGGTCTTTCAATCCCTGACTACTACGGCTACTACTACTACTACTACTCCTGCTGCTGCTGCTACTACTACTACTACTCCTGCTCCTGCTGCTGCTACTGCTCCTGCTGCTACTACCACCACTACCTCCACCACTCCTTTTGCCAGACATTGGGCATGGTTAGTCATTCTACACAGTTTCATGACTTACCAGCCTGGCTATGCGAATACATAACAACAACGTACTACACTCCCCACTTGGAGAGTAGGGGGACTCAGTAAGTAGTTACTGTATAGACTTGTATAAGGATCATTGCCCCAATTAGGACCTTGTTTAACTCTACCCATTATCTACTTACTAAGTCCCCCGACCCTCCAAGGAAAGGTTACCGTACTCAGAAAGAGTGTTATTGCCAACTCATTTGGCTTAGTACTAGCAGCACCAACCACAACTATTATTCCACTGCAGCTGCTACTGTTGCTGCTACTGCTGCTACTACTACTGCTACTGCTACCCAGACCTCCGGAAGGATCTAAAAAGTAGATCCCTTACTGGCCGGGGCTCGTACAAACTACCTTTAGTAGTAAGTACAGGGTCCCAAATTAGGGGTTGTCTTTTTAGATCCTTCCGGTGGTCTGGGTACTGCTACTGCTACTACTACTACTACTACTACTACTACTACTGCTACTGCTACTGCTACTGCTACTACTACTAGTACAACTACTACTACTGCTACTACCACCAGCACGAGTACCACTAGCACTACCACTAGCACTTCCACGACCACTACCATGACCCCGACCACCACTACTACTGGCTCTGCTACTACTACTACTACTACTACTACTACTACAACTGCTGCTACTACTACTACCACTACTACCACTACCACTACTACTACTACTACTACTACTACTACTACTACTACTACTACTACTACTACTACTATTACTACTAGGTCCCGGCCGGCCAGTCGGTTGACGTCAGTGTAGGCAGTCGTTGTTGTTTGTTGTCGTGGTTGTTGTTGTTCGCGGTGGTGGTGGTGGTGGTGGTGGCGGTGGTGATAGTGGTCCTGGTGGTGGTGTCGCTGCTCGTTAGTTATAGTTGTCGCGGCTGTTGTTTATTGTTGTCTTGTTTCATGTTACTGCTGCTCACTGCCGCAGCTTAAGCTTAACCCTAGCTCGGCCCGTTAATGCCGCCATAAACCCTAAACCACGAACGATCCCAAACCTTTCCAGCCCAGGCCTTAAACACATCTTGAACCCCATGCTCAAATCCTAAACTTCCGAAGCCTCCCACTTCGAATGCCCGTGAACTAGCAACCCCAAGCCATAAATTCAGAACCCCAACCCTGAAGCCCAAAGCCTCCGGTCAGAGGTTCAGTGCTTAGGGTTTCGGGTAAGGGCTCCATGGTTTGAGGTATCAAAGGGTTTCGGAAATTTCGGGTGTAGGAGTTCATTCTCTAGGCTTTAGTATATAGGGCTTTAGGGTTTAATGCCGGAAACCCAAATCGGGTGTACTTTTGGCCTCGGGTTCTTTTCCAGAGCTGCTTTGTTTAGGGTTGTTGTAGGATGTGTTTTGGAATATGGGCTCAGGCTTAGTATGTCAGGGTTTTGTTTAGGGTTCGTGTAGGATTTGCTTTGGAATATGGGCTCAGGGCTGAGTATTGACAACACAACCCACTGAGCAAATATGGGTGCACCTGCAACAATACCATAACAAGTCAGAACGACATCACCACTAGCACCGTCACCAACACCACCGGCACCAGCAAACCAACACCGAGCAGCAGCAGCAGCAGCAGCAGCAGCAGCAGCAGCCACCAACACCACCACCACCACCACCAAATCAGTGACTGCTGCTGCAGCCAAAAACATATTACCACGAACAAGACCACTACTAACGGCCACCACTATTGCCTACACCCTAAAACCCTCAGCCCTAAGCCATACTTCTGAACCTTCTTACCCAAACCCTGAGCCTCAGCCCAAGCCCTAAACCCTCGGCCCTTCTAAAACCCTTAGTCTGAGCAGAGCTGCTACAGCTACGGCCACGGGAGGAGGACGACGATCACCGACGACGACGACGACTGTAATCGTTCGGGTTTAGGTTGTATGGGTTTAGGGTTTGGCGCTTTTTTGGGGGCGGGGGGTTCGGCTTTCACACTCGCATAATCCAGGCGATGTGTATGGTCTTAGATCGGCTTTAGGGTTTGGGAAACAACACACAACACCATAAAGCAAATAACCCCAAATCCTATACTTTCTAGACTCAAATATACCCTCTTCTCGAAGTTCGGGGACCTACACGGGGTCCCAGCCTGCATTGGGGTTTGGGCATTAGGGCATTAGGGTTTAGGTGTGGGGTTTGGGGTTTAGGGTTTCGGGTAAAGACCTTAAACCTGTCATTGGCAACCACCGCTGGACCGCCACTACTGCACCACCTAAACCCTAAAGCTTACGCATCCCAAGTCTAAACCCATGAACCCTAAACCCCAACCCTTAGACCCTACGCCCCTAAACCTGTAAACCCTTCCAGGCTTCACTCAGACATGAGAGGGCGAATCTGAAAAATCAAGGGCAGTGGCTCTTGACCCCACTGCTACTACCACTACTACTACTCCTCCTCCTGCTCCTGCTACTACTACTGCTACTACTACTACTACTACTACTACCAATACTCCTGCTGCTGCTGCTGCTACTACTAATACTCCTGCTGCTGCTACTACTACTAATACTCCTGCTGCTGCTGCTGCTACTACTACTCCTCCTGCTCCTGCCCCTGCCCCTGCCCCTGCTACTGCTACTGCTACTGCTACTGCTACTGCTACTACTACTACTACTACTACTACTACTACTACTACTACTACGGTTGATGATATAAATCCTGCATGACCCATAATGAGGAATATACCGTAATTCCCATAGTTTGGGGTCTTTAAGGTAATGCAGGATTTATATCATCAACCGTACTACTACTACTACTACTACTACTACTACTACTACTACTACTACTACTACTACTACTACTACTACTACTCCCGCTGCTGCTGCTACTACTACTACTACTACTCCTCCTCCTGCTCCTGCCCCTGCTACTGCTACTAGTACTAGTACTAGTACGGCCAGCCGGGATGGTCGGCTGGGAGCTGTATGAAAGGATTGCTTAGTGCTTGTGGGTTTATAGAGGTAACTAATTGTAGACTCGGCGGTTTTGCTTCTGGGTCGGTTTCTTCCAGGCGAAGCTAGCAATCTGGGCCCGAAGCCCGACAATAAGCAAGGGCTCTTTTGAGGGTTTTATAAACGGGTTCTGAAGGGCCCTGAGGGTTTAGGGTGCATGTTACTTGGCTTGTATTGAGTCTGACGGCTGCACG